AAAACAATACATATAGTTGCATGAAAAAATATGACAATATTTATTTCTTATTAATAATACCCTGGAAACTATCCTTACATGTGGATTTGAATTTTAGCTTGGATTGAGATGGAATCAAAATAAACAAGTTGAGCTATTTGTCAAAACTGGCTTGAGACCAGCTCGAAGTGTTTTTATTTATAAAATTTATATATAATACTAAATAAAATTGAATATAATGAGTTATGAGCAAATTTTGAGCTGGAACTGATCCATATTACTCAATTTGAGCCCTCTTATTTCAATTTCAAGCCGGCTCGAGCTGATTTTGAGTCGTAATTGATCAAAATACCTCAAATTTGAGTCAGCTCATTTTAATTTTGAGATGAATCAAGCTAGATTCAGTCTCGAGATGAGCTCGCTTGAAATCAAACATAACGAGCTACGAGCCGATTTCGATCCACACTCAATTCATTTGAGCAAATTTCATATCAACGAATATACTGAGTTGGGTTGAAACCAATTGATTAACAACCCTAGGCATAACGCCCACAGAATTAAATTTTGTAGGTATAGCCAAAGTGCCCCGAGGATGATTCTTTGTAGGAACACCCATATAGATGAATAGTTAATACAGGTTGGATAAAATACAGTACTCTTTTTCTTCAAAATAGTTTAAATTCCTATGAATGAATTCATTTTTCAGATGATACACTTGTCTTATAGAGATAAGCAATGTAGATAAGCAATGTGTAGCTTCATCTCTTTCATTCTCTTATCGAAAAGGTTCAAGCTGTAAATCTACAAATTCAACCAATCAACAGTTGCTCCTACAATATATGACGACAGGCATAATCCTTGACAGATGTTAGAGATCTTTGAAGGTTCAAAATCAAAATCACACATTTCTTGATAATCAATGAGGAACTATTCTAAATTTTTGTTACTTCCACCTCCTTAAAATGAATCGAGGAAGACAATGATAAAATCGCACAAGCAATTCACTACGAGGAATGCGACAACCATTCCAGTGGAGGAACTCTAGCCAATCGAATCCTCTAATAAGGATATTTCTGACCTACCCTTGTTGGCATCAATTTTTTATGCATTTCGCATCTGATGTTTGGGATTGTATCTTGTTGATATATGTGTTCTCGTGATGCAAATCGTCGACGGAAATTACTTTGTGTGCAAATCGGGTTCAAATTGGTTCGATTGTTGACAAATTTGTCCAAACAGTCTCAGATGATAAAATGAACCGTACAAGCCCGCCTAAAATGTCAGTTTTGCCTTACGAGGACACTCATATTATTGGGATTCCACACACAAGAAATCATCGCATAAATTGAGGAAATTAAATTTAAAATACTTTTGGAAAGTATTTAAATTTTGGATGAAAATGGAATATATTATAGTTTTGTACTATTCCATTTCATGTATATGTTCATTTTATATATCCTATTCGGACGGCTACACCGCCTCTTACTCATCATCTGCTATCATTAATTGCCATCTAGAATTTAAAAAAAAAAATCAAAATAAAAAATAATTAAAAAAAACTATTTACATTTATTTCGATCTTATCTGTAACGGAAGGAGTTATTTACGTGCTCCTTGGGGGCTGTATTAGATCAATTTGTGTTGCTTATTTTTTATTTTTGAAAACAAAAAAAAAACAGGAATGAAATAGAAAAATATTATTTATTTAACGGTTTTTTTCATTATTTTTATTTTAGAAATAGTACATCTATTTTTAAAATATTCGAAATAGAAAAAATATATCTTTTAAAGAAACCCTTGTCTAAACACATTATAAATAAGTAGTGAGAAAATGCACGTTGACGGCAGACCGCCGAGGTCGCCACTTGTCGCGCCTGCCGATGCCTCGAT